ACACTGCCTTGGGGCACACCCTCGTATTGCTGAAAGATGTAGAGTGGTACCAAGCCTCACTCGAAAGGAACGACAAGAGAGGAAGCTTTGGAGAAAGAGAGGGAGATGACCACGAAGGCCAAAAGAATGAAGTTGGGACAGAATATGATATCGCCAAGTGGTGGTGTAAGCTTTTTCTAGGTCAAAAAGGACGGCTACAACGGAGGTCTTAGCAGCAATAGTAGTATGAAGAGAGACCTCCAAGTTCACCAGGACATCTGTTGTGCTGCAGCACTAGCAAAAATCAATTTGAGAAAGGGAGAGATGGTGATAGTGTTCTAAGAACCACATCAGACGAACGTTAACCATACGTTCAAAGAGTTTACAGAAATAACTCATGAGGGCAATAAGGTGGAAGTCCTTGGGGGATAATCCAAGAGACCCTGGTTTTCAAACAGGGAGGACAACGGCATCGAGCCAGTCCTCAGGGACTGACGACGACTCCCAGACCCGATTATACAGACTCATAAATACTGAGACGTGCACGGAGGGAGATGTCGAAGCATCTCATAATGAATGCTATCGGAGCCCACCGCCGTAGAACCGCAGAGGGCCAGGGCAGAACGAAGTTCAGAGAGAGAAGGGATTGTCATAGGAAAGTTTGAGATTAGTGCAGAAATCTAAAGGACGAGATTCAAAAACAGGTTTACGAAGAAGGAAAGATTGAGGAAGATGAGAACCAGAGCTAACATAAGAAATGTGGGAACCCAGTTCAGTCGCGACCTGCAACGGGTCAGCCACAAGAGTACCATGCAGGTGAAGGACCGGCGAGACATAGGGAACGAACTTGCCTGCAATCTTGCGGACATGCTTCCAGATCTGCAGCAGAGGAGTTTCGGACATAATGGTGGAAACATAAAACTTACAATACTCACGCTTAGCTGTACGGATGGCCCTATGGGCCACCGCACTCGCCTTCCAAAAGAAAAGAAAAGAATCAGCCGTCTGCCGGCAGCGGTGTCTCTTCCAGGCTGCATGCTTACAGCGGACAGCCCGTGCACAGTCCACATTCCACCAGGGAACGCACTTCCGTTGTCCCCGAGAGGAAGAACGAGGAATAGAGCGGAGTGCATCGAAGATGGTGTCATGAAAAAGGAGGAGGGCACGAGGGAGAGATCAGAGAGAGCAGCACGGAGGGAAAATAGGTTCCAGTCTGCCTTAGCAAACAGACACCTAGGGAAAGAGAGGGGAGGGTGAAAAGAGAAAAAGGTAACAAGGGTGGGGAAAAGGTCACTGCCGTGGAGGTCATCAAGAATCCGCCACATGAAATCTAAGTTAATAGACGACGAGCACAGAAAGATCAAGACAGGAAAGGGTCCGAGAGTCCAAACGAGTGAGCTCACCAGAATTCAGAAGAGACAGGGAAGAGGAGAGGATGAACGGTTCAAGAAGGCGACCCCAGGTGTTTGTCAGAACATCACCTCAGATGGTATGTCGACAATTGAAATCACCCAGCAGGAGCACAGGCTCCGGCAAGGAGTCTAGTAGGTGTTTAAGATCGGGAAGAGAAACAGGACATTTGGGGGGAAGAAAATGGAACAAACCGTGTACCATTTACGCACAAAGACACGTGCAGCAGAACATTGGCGAGGCAACGGAAAAAGTAGGGGGATGAAGGGAACAACAGAACAAATCAAGAGAGCAGAAGAATATATACAGGCCCCAGCAAAAGCCGGGGAGGTGGGGGGGGGGAGAAAGGAATAGCCGCGGAAGCTTGTCCCACGACCAGGACGAGCACCAAGCATCGGCTCCTGGAGACGGAGACAGACACAAAGGGGCAAAAACTGTGAAATCAAAAGTTGGAGTTCATGGAAATTGGTGTAATATCCGCGAATATTGCATTGAAGAACAGACATCGACAAGAAGAGAAAGGACAACAACTGAGGACAATGAAGAAACAAAGGTGAAAAAGGAACACAGCACGTTAAAGAAGCGCAGGATCAGGAGTCAGCTAAGTCGGAGTTAGGGGGCATAGGTAAACTGAGGAAAGTTGCAGGGAAGGGAGCGGGAGGACCAACCAGACGCGGATGAGCAGGGTCCGGAGGAGGGGAAGGACAACGGAGGGTCAAGGACAGCAGCAGGAGGGGCAGAAACCAGGGAGTGCACCACAGCAAGGGCAGCAACTGAGAGGGAAGCGGGGGGCCAAAGAAACCTCCATAGCAGGAACAGGGGGCGGAACCACCGAAATGGTAGGGGATGGAGCAAGAGTGTCAGAGGTAGGGAGCAAGGAAGAAAGCGAAGCCTTCTTACCCACCAGGGAGGAAGAAGGAGATGAGCCAGGCTTTCGCTTCTGACTCAGAGAGACAGGCGTCACAGCAACAACATACTGGTCAACAGATTCAAGCTTCTCAACAGGAGAAGAACGACGAGAGCAAACAACACGATGGCTGCTGGAAGAGTGATGGACATTAGCCCACAGACACAGGTGGTGTGGAGAGCTAAAAGACAGAGAAGAAGGATGGGAAGGAGGATCGGAGGAAGACGAGGAAGAAGACACAGGAGACAAGACAGACTGGGTAGAAAGAAGGGGAACCCCATACAGAGAACCATGAGGAGGACCCTTCGGGACAGAACTTAAAAGGAACAGAGGCGGCGGCTGTAGACGCGTCTGGGTCTAAGGCCTGGAAACGGTTGTGAGACTGAGGAAGGTGGAAAGGACGAGGAGATGAAGAGCACAACACGTGAGCATAAGGGACTAGTGAAAGGGGGAGACAGCGAACTTGGAGCCTCGCCTCAGGAAAAGACAAACGTTCCCGGTGCTTCAAGGTGAGGACGGCTGCCTCAAGTTTGTACTGCACACACACACACACACGTGGGAGAAGGAAGAGTCAGCCTCACTGCAACTGAGGTAAAGAGCTCGGGGAGAAGTGCACTCCGACTTAGAGTGACCTTCGTCCCCACACTAGGGACAGAGAGACAGTACTAGAGCATCGGAGGGCACCATGCCCAAACCTCCAGCACTTATTACAGAGCCGAGGAGAGGGAATGTACTTCTGGATGGAGCACCTGGCACCAACAAGAATGACAAGAGGGCGGAAGGGCACTACCATCAAAGGGGCCTTCACAACCCGAAGGGGCTGACAGCGACGACCACGAGGGGGACGAGTAAACGTATCTACCTGGAAGACAGAATGGTCCTGGGCTTCGAGGATATGCTGAATATCTTTGTGGCAGTCCTGTAGATTCCTGACACCGGTTGCAACATGGGGTTGGAGGAGAACAGTGCCAACACTGGTGATCAACCGCGAGTTCGTGGAGTTCCGAACAGGGGTCTCGCCAAGGCAGGATAAGGCGGCCAAGCTGGTGGCTGCATCCTGAGGAGCAGCAGCAATGACACATGTACCGAGTCGGGTGGGGTTGAAAGTAACAGAGGCATCTACTGAATCAACACGGTGCCTATGAAGGGAGAAATTGCCAGGTGTAGAATCCAGAGGGAGGAGATCAAAGTATTTGACCCACGAAGCAGGACCAAACAAGGCTTGGTACACATTAGTATGGGAATGGATCGAGCGAGTTATTGGACGGCGTCGAGAACCCCAGGAGAGAGAGGGGTTAAAAGATGCAGTAGTCACAATGAGAGACTGAGCTGTGCAAAGGGATGAGGTGGTCACCACTGGGGGCTTGTGGCTCGACCCAACCACAGAGGAGGGAAGGGAGCCGAAGGGAGTAGTCAGGAGGGTCAAAGGAGCAGCATGGTCGGGGCCCAATGCAGTGGGGGCTACAGAGCCCGGTCTTCCAACACAGTCTGACTCGGGGTGCTTGGTCGCCCACCCGACGAGTCTGAGAAGGTACAGGAGGAACAGAATGTGACATAAAAACGAGAGAAAAACTTTCGTTCACGAATCTGCCCCACACTCATCACGGAGCCACAATTAGAGAATAGGACACCCAACACGAGACATGTTGCCGATCTTGCCAGGGCCCCTAGGGGTGTGTCGTGAGTATACGCCATACAAACGCCACCTTAAGAACTATCAGTCCGTCGTGATCGGGTTGAGTGACGAAAGGAGGATTGACAATAAAAGCATCCCCTCGCTTGCGACGTCAAGTACCACAGTTCTACGGGTGCAAGAGTATGCCTTTTCAAATATCCAGGTGTCAAAACAAAAGAAGGCCGAAAGAATAATCAAAACAGGCAAAAGATTGGCAGGAAATGACAATTAGAAAGGAGAAGAGGGGGGAGGGAGTAAAAGGAAAAGTCTCCCGGCAGAATTCAAGAGAACAGCAGCAGCAGGAGCATAAGGCCGCTAAAGGTCAGAGGACTGTTCCATGGAGCATCACACTCCGGCAGCAGCCCACCAAACCCCCTCACGGCAGCAACGGGCCGGACAGAGAGGGGATAGCAGCTTGATAAATATTCTTCAGGTTGCTATTAGGATTGCAGTTTTCTTCAGCATGTGAGATCTGAGCATCACTGACTGACTTCAGCATAATATGCTGTGGTTGGTTCCTGGAAACTGGATTGGTGAATAAGTCCATTTGGAAAAGCTGAATTTTACCGAGTGCTTTCAGGGATTTTCTGTTAATAATTTTCTCAATCTTTAACTCTTGGAATAATAATTTTGCTGGTAGCATCTTAACATCTGCTATTGTGACCACTTTTCCATCAACAGCGCCTCCAATAAAGTCAACAAATTCTACCCGACTTGCACATTCTGCAATATTTGGCAAAGCTTCTAGAGTTTTGTCTGAGCTTCGCAATGTATTACCGACATTTGCGCTGAAGCATTCTTTGTGGTCTACGACATTATATGCATGACGTCGGCGTCTCGGTTGATGCAACCACTTTACGTTTCCATTCAGCATTAGTTGTTGTACATCATCATGTAACTTCTTCCCTGCAACATGGGGTAGAGACTGTATGTAACGGATCATTCCTTGTGTCAGGCTGGTTACACAACAGGCAGCACTTTGCTGTTGCGAAGGAAGCTTAGGTCTACTACAGGGAGGCTCGGTGGTGCTCACTGGGACATCACCACTACAATTATGTTCATGTAATTTGTATTCTGATTCTTCCCCGCACCCGGCCGGGAGTCATTCCCCGCACCCGGCCGGGAGTCATTCCCCGCACCCGGCCGGGAGTCATTCCCCGCACCCGGCCGGGAGTCATTCCCCGCACCCGGCCGGGAGTCATTCCCCGCACCCGGCCGGGAGTCATTCCCCGCACCCGGCCGGGAGTCATTCCCCGCACCCGGCCGGGAGTCATTCCCCGCACCCGGCCGGGAGTCATTCCCCGCACCCGGCCGGGAGTCATTCCCCGCACCCGGCCGGGAGTCATTCCCCGCATCCGGCCGGGAGTCATTCCCCGCATCCGGCCGGGAGTCATTCCCCGCACCCGGCCGGGAGTCCTCCATGTATCCGGCTGGGAGTTACACGCGCTTCCTATTCTTATTCTCTAAAGAGTTTTTCAGCAGATTTGGGATCGTTCACTAATGTCTACTCTTGTTTGAGACCAACATGGTGAGCAGATGTTAAAGTTCGTGTCCGTATTGCTGCTGTCATTGTCATCATGTGAGTCTTGAATTTCCTCAACTTCTTCCTTAATGTCTTTCTTCATACGTCAGTTCGTGAAACAGAGGAATAACGAAGTGAATGAGCAATAAAGCTGACAAACCCATCCGTACTGAAATTAAACACTAAAAATAGGTACGTCAATAATTAACTAGAATAGGTCCAAATACCTATCTATATAGCCTTTTATCACAGAAACCGTTAATTCTGTTCAAAACCTGGTAATAACCTTTTTTGTTGTACACAAAATTACTTTTAAAATGAGGTATATTATATTACAATCAAAGACAAAATAACGAATATAGCATAATTTTAATAATTATGGAAGGCCGCCAATTTGATGTCATCATTATTCGCTACAGAATTTGTTGTGCCACCATACAGATTATTCAGTTTATGTTTGAATAAAACCATCGCCACTATTTCATCCCGAATGCTGCCACGGAATTACCATATGCTCCCCCGTTAATAAATAAAATTAACCCGAGACATTAATAAATGTTTGATGGCTGATCTTGTACTGAGAGATCTTCAACACTTCATGTGCGACAAGTTGTGAGTTATTAAATTAGATGTATATAAGATATAGGGAGAAGCGAAATGAGTTGTTCTTGAGATGATAGAATAGGAAATGTTTCACTTGCTGCTGTAAAACCTTTAAAGTTGGACTACCAGGTCAGCACAAAAACGTGAGAGCGCTGACTGCAGCTTAACTTCCAGTGACTTTAATACAAGTTTGAAAGCAGCAAACGTGGCAAAGTCTTTTTAGAATCTTCACCCGAGCGACTTGACCTCATTTCAAACTCGGCTGCATCAACGAGGCAGGTTCTTACAATGATTCTAAAATTTTGTTCTAGTTTAGATTTATCTCTCGTGTATAAACTGGAGACTAAGTAATGGCTGAAGTTTCACTACTGATTACAGAAACTATGATAAACACAGGATAATACCTTGCAATCCGTCTCTCTCTCTCACTCACACACACACACACACACACACACACACACACACACACACACACACACACACACACAAACGGGGCCTCGTCGTTGAGTGGACAGCGCTTTGGGGTTGTGGTACTAAGGGCCCGGGTTCGATTCCCGGTCGAGGAATCTTCACACCTTTGAAGCCAGATTTGACAATTTGAACATCAGAATAGTTCAATTTAAACGCAACAGGTACAAGACAAGTGGGCGGAGCGTCAAGACCTATAGTGGGCCAGCCAGAGGCTTAGGGCCCGCGGGCCCGCGCAGGAACATCCTTGAAAAAAAATATCAAGACCTAGACCTCACTTCCCCTGTAGACACTGATAGGTAAGTACTCAGGGCCTCGCGGCTAAGTCCAAAGGTCCTCGGAGCTGTGTGGACGGCGCTATGGGGTCGCAGTCGTAAGGTTCCTGGTTCGATTCCAGGCCGAGGTAGAAACAAATGGGCAGAGTTTGTGTCACCTGATGTTCCTGTTCACCTAACAGTAAATAAGTAGCTGATGTGCAGAGAGACAGCTACAGCTCCGCTCCTGTGCCAGTTAAGTCCACTACGGGCTCACCATAGCCCGTGTTACTTGGAACTTTTTGTTCCCAGTAGTGGACTCTAAAACAACATAGCTGATGGGGGCTGCATCTTGGGGATGTGTGTATAATTAGCCAAGTGTAGTTACAGGATGAGGGCAACGTTCGTGGTGTCCGGCCTTCCCAGTACTCTGTTATATGGCTCTTAGATCCTGAGAAGTATTCCCGTTGTTCGGGACAGGAAGCCTGCACTTAGGCTTAACGAGGTCTCCGCTAGACCAACTGCTGACCTTCCTCAGGATGCAACCCACATCAGTTGCCTAACTTCAAAATAGAGAAATCAGATGAAAGGAAACCTGTCAAACCGTTTTTGTACTGCCAGGGATTGAGGGTTGGGGGTGGGTGGGTGTGTGTGTGTGTGTGTGTGTGTGTGTGTGTGTGTGTGTGTGTGTGTGTGTGTGTGTGTGTGTGTGTGTGTGTGTGTGTGTGTGTGTGTTCACCTAGTTGAGCTTGCAGGGTCAAGCCTCTGCTCTTAAGCCGCGCCTTTTGATCATCATTTGTTCAATGTATTGATTCTTCTTACTCTTTTTCTCTTACAATGTTTACATTTAAGTGGTGTATCGAAATGGCTTCGACAATTTTCGCATCTGGTCGGTTCCACTTATTTACGACTCTGAGACTGCAAAAAGTTCTTTCTGACATTCCTGTGGCTCGTCTGTGTTTCCAGTATCCAATTGTTCTTCTGTTCCTTGATTTGAACATTGCTTCTATATCTACCTTTTTTTTAATCCTCCCTTAATATCGTGTATGTCGTCGTCATTTCTGCTCTGTTCCCTCTTTTCTCCAGTTGCCCCACTCTCTCTTCAAAGGTCAGTCCACTTACCTCAGGAACGAGCCTTGTTGCATATTTTTGGACTTTCTACTTTAACTTTGTATTTCTTTAGATAGGGGTTCCATGCTGAGGCAGCATACTCAATAATAGGTCTCACAAAGAATGTATACTGCGCGTGGAAGGGATCTTTGTCTAACTTCCTGCAGGGCAACCGGACAAGTATGACATATACCAGTATTCACAAGTATGACATATACCAGTATGTCACAAGTATGACAACCGGCCAGTATGGCATATACTGCTCTTGTTGTTCGTAGATGTGTGCCTCTGGTGATTGATCCCGAGTTATGTCTACTCCTAAGTCTCTCTCTGAGACGTTGGAAGTTGCCTTCCCTTCATCTTATACTGAATATGAGGTCTTCATGCTCCAACGCCTATCCTCATAATCTTGCATTTGTCAGGGTTGAAGTCTAGTAGCCATTTCTGAGAATATCTTTGAAGATTGTCTAGGCCATCTTGTAATTGTTTGTAGTCCTCAGTTCTATTTTGCCTTAATATGTTAGCAACGTCAGCAAACATGAATAAAAATTGGCTTGCTCTTTGTTAGATCGTTTACATAAATTGAAAACAGGATGAGCTCTACTACCGACCCCTGAGGTACTGCACTCGTTACCTTTGTCCATTCTGATAACTCTACATTTGCTGTGACACTCTGCCTTCTTCCTGATAGGTACTCTTTCGCCACTTTAGTATTTTTCCAGATACACCAACCTATTTTTCGAGTTTGCATTGAAGATTCCTGTGACGAACAGTGTCAAAAGCTTGGTGACAGTCCTGGAAAATGCAGTCTGCACAGCTCTCTAACTTGTTCACACTAACTGTTCTCATCTTGTAACAGAACTTTAATAAGTTGGTCAAGCAAGATTTTTCTTTGCTGTACTCCATGTTGATGCATAGAAACATCAATTTATGTCCTAAATGGTCGATGCGCTTTATTTTTATTAGTATTTCTATCTTGAGGTTATCTTGAGATGATTTCGGGGCTTTTAGTGTCCCCGCGGCCAAGGCCTCCACCCCCAGGAAGCAGCCCGTGACAGCTGACTAACACCCAGGTACTGACGACTTCTAATGGAGTCATCAATTCTAGAATTACAGCACAAGGGTACACCACAACGCTTCAGCTGCCTCGTTTAGGATCCATGGCGAGATCTTGCCAGGGCCCGTGGCTTTCATAACATCCAACTTTTCTAATTGTTTCTATACTTCCTTCCTTTACTTCTATTTCAGTCATGTAGCAGCGCTTGTTCCGTTAGAAGTCGTCTATCTGGAGAAAGGTCTGGTTCGATCTTGAAAACTTCTTAGAAACTTGTATAGAGTTCTTCACACACGTATCATTGTGCAGCCGCCTCCTCTTTTGCATAACAATCACTTGATCATTAACAGACATCTTCCTTATGTGGATATATCGTTGTTTAGGCTGATCCTTGGCCTTGGATGCCACATCATTCTCCTACATTTCTGCTGCTCTTGAGTGCCTGTGTATTCACTGCTCTCTTGCATGCAAGTCGAAGTTCTCCTCTGACTTGGGTTCCCTGTATTTGTTCTCCAAGCTCCTTTACTTCTCCCTTTTGCCTCTAAGCATATCAAAGCATTTGATAGCACATCTATCAAAGCATTTGATAGCACATCTATCAAAGCATTTGATAGCACATCTATCAAAGCATTTGATAGCACATCTATCAAAGCATTTGATAGCACATCTATCAAAGCATTTGATAGCACATCTATCAAAGCATTTGATAGCACATCTATCAAAGCATTTGATAGCACATCTATCAAAGCATTTGATAGCACATCTATCAAAGCATTTGATAGCACATCTATCAAAGCATTTGATAGCACATCTATCAAAGCATTTGATAGCACATCTATCAAAGCATTTGATAGCACATCTATCAAAGCATTTGATAGCACATCTATCAAAGCATTTGATAGCACATCTATCAAAGCATTTGATAGCACATCTATCAAAGCATTTGATAGCACATCTATCAAAGCATTTGATAGCACATCTATCAAAGCATTTGATAGCACATCTATCAATGCATTTGATAGCTTATCTATCAAAGCATTTAATAGCTTATGTCTAAGAATATTCATATCAAAGTCGATATTGCGTGCATGCACACGCAAGCACACACTACCCCAAGGGATAAACGTGCCAAGAGAAAAAAAAATCTATTGGCTCCTCTATCCCTTATGGGTGTATGTGCTTGCGTGCGCGTGCACGCAATATAGACTGATACGAAAATAACACATTATGTTTCTATAATTTTTTTTTATATTTCAGCGAAAGGTTGTGATATGTTGGGAGCAATCTAGCGTTAGGAGCGTGCAATAAGGAGAAGTCGGCTGGAATATATGATGCTCCTGCCTACTTTAGTTCAAATACAGGGGAAAAGGAAAGCAAATTGTTCCATTGAGGGAAAACATGTTTTCTGCCT